ATAATAAAGAGGAAAAATATTACAGAATTGACGGATAATTTAATAGCTTCTCAAGCATTTGTATTTTTCCTTGCTGGTTTTGAAACCTCGTCAACGACTATGAGTAATGCGCTCTATGAATTAGCATTAAATCCGAAAATACAAGACAAATTACGTGCAGAAATTGACGAGTGCTATGCGAAACATGGTGAACGCTTAACATATGATAATATTAAACAATTGGATTATTTAGATAAAGTTTTCAAAGGTATGAAGAAAAAATATAATATATTCTTGTATATTTTTTTTAAAGATATAATATCAATGTTAATAAACTTAAATCTAATCGTAATTTTTTAATAGACATAAATATTTTCATTTAACATTATTTTTAACAGAAACTTTGCGAAAATACCCGCCAGGGTCAATTCTTATGAGACAAACTACATCAAATTATACCTTTGAGGGTACCAAAATTAGTATACCAAAAGGCATGAGGGTATGGATTCCTGTTTACGCAATTCATCGAGATCCGAACATTTATCCAGAGCCTGACGTTTTCGATCCAGAAAGATTTGATGATGAAGCAGTGAAAAGTAGGCACTCGATGGTCTATTTACCTTTTGGCGATGGACCAAGGAATTGTATTGGTACAGTAGCATAAATTTAAATATCATTTACTAGTTTTTTCCTGTATTTTCAGCCAGAAAATGTTTTTAAATTTAAATCTTGGTCTAATTATATAATGACTATTTTTTTTTAGGTGCTCGCTTCGCCGTTTATCAGAGCAAAGTCGGGCTTATAAAGATATTACGAAACTACAAAGTCGAAACTTGCGAAAAAACCATGAAACGTTACATAAATGATCCTAAGGCTTTTATATTATCACCGATAGGCGGAATACATTTGAAAATAGTTAAAATTGATCGAACCTAGTATAAGTTTCATTTATTTCCTTAAAACATACGGCATACGTAATAAATGGTGGAGGAAGTTTTTATCAATACTGATTTGTATCGACTGCTTTATTGATATTCTCTCAATTGTGATTGTATTAGTTAATTGTATTAGTATTTGTAATTAGATTAGAGTTTAATTTTAAATTTATATTTATATATCTTAATAATCTGAATAATCTTCATATTCTTGACTTAAAAATAAGACGAAAATTCTAATACGAAAATGCTGAGGCTATAAGTTTTTAAATTAATAGCAATTAAAGTCAACTAATCACAGAGCTAACATTTCGCGCGCTCAGGCATGATATAACAAGTGATAAATGTGCTACCACAAGGGCCCTCTTAACGTCAATTGAGATTATTATACAAATATATTGATATGATATTCTATTATATTTTTATCGAGAAATTATTTTTGTTTTTTTACGAAACCTATTTGTATATTACATACGTATAATTAATATTGGAACATATCACAAAATATCAATAACGAAATATTACGACATATGCAAAGTATATCGATATAACGTTGAAATACAATGATAATAAAATATTTTATTAATTAGATCATATCTAAGCATAGAAAATAAGTACACTGCCTATGCGTTGTATTTAATCATAATCATATAATGAAATGTCAAAATTTGACATATCATACGAGAGAAGTTGCTATGCGCACGTGCGCATGCCGCGAGAGTGCATGTGTGCATGTGTCTGTGTGTGTGTGTGTGTGTGTGTGTATGCGCGCGCGCGCGCGTGTGTGTTCAAAATGCATGCATGTGTCAATCTACACTCGCGTGTACAAATTAGCTGATCGCAGCGAGTGCCCCATGTAATCGCCCACGTTGGACAGTGAGCACCGCTCCTGACTTCTTCTGTATGCGACCCTTAAATCAACTGTTTTCCTTTATAATTAAAAGAGGAAGTTTCTAATAAA